CGTCTAGATAGGTGCATTGACGATAAAAAATTGTAGATGCTAAAACATGGATTTTCTATGGTCATGCCTTTCGAGTTTTGAACCACATACTTTAAAGTTCGAACCCTCATTAATTAGAGGATTCTCCTTTGCGTCACCTTCTCTACGTCATTTTTTCTACGCCATGCATTCCCAATAAATATGATTGTTGTAACTATATAGAAAAACAGAACAAATTAAAAAAGATTCATTTTTCTTATAAAGGAGATGTAACACGACTTGATCATGACCTAAAAACGGATCTATCAATAAGATATATAAAAATACAATATTCGTTAGCCATTTTTCCTTTTTTTTTTTAAGAGATAATCTAGACTTTTACCATCCGACTAATCTCTTCAAGATGAGTACAGTTGTAGAGTAGTTCACTCACTATATTTTCTAGTGGACCTAAAACGTGACAATATTTCGACTGGCCAAATAAAAATAGTCAAATAATTCCACGTTTGAGAAAAATTGAATTATGACCTAGGTCGACATAACAATTCTTTCCTCAAGTTATCCTTCCGTTTAAAGTATTATCCATTTTTGTTGGAGGCCTATGTGTTATGTCGCATCAAATCGAAATTGGACATAACCAGATGACCAAAAAAAAAAGAAGCTTTGCGTATGAATATGACAGAATCTTGAGCGCGTAAGTTAAAAAGATTGTGGGTTCTACTTTTGGAAGTTCTTCTGATTTCGATAGATCGTAAACGTCTTTTTATATGTATATTGAGGCCTTTTAAAGTTGATTATTTATCTTTTTTCTCTTGTGTTTTTGTCTCTATATAGTTTAGTTTATTGAACCAATTAATTAATTAGTATTGAGCAGTGATATAATCAGTCGATCATAATATAATAATACAAATTAAAGACAAATTGCTAAATCCTATCGGCATCTTGTGGTTATACTGGATTTTTTCCTTGTCATTAGGTTATCTAGGCTGTCAAATCCATTACATTTCCAAATTCTAATCGATGTAATAATTCATTTAAATCGGGTGTTACAGAATTAACATTTGTTTTCTTCACAAAAAGTCTAAGATACTATTCAGCCCAAATCTAACCTATCTTCGAATCAAATTGACAACTGGCACGTCATCACTTTGTGTGTGTTTTTGTCCTAAGCTGAAAGTGAAGAAGTAGACAAGTGTCTCGTAAAGACACCGAGATGATTCGCTTCTCAGGTACAATACACTTAATCGAGAATGTTGCTTTCCCACGAACTATGGAGGCTACTATTTGTATGTCTTTGTGTAATAACATTACTATTGTGTTTACTTGCATTACTTAAACTCTTTTTACTTTAACTAATAGATTTTATATTGTTTTTCAACTCTCCTTTTTAATAGAGTGGATCACTCTGATATGTAAGCATCAAAATGTATACGCTAATCCAATTTTTATGTTCGAATGTTTTAAATTTAAGCCAG